TCCACGATCATTAAATTGATGTATGTACTGGGTGATTACCTAACAACGATGCCCCGTTTGTTGACATCTCTGCATCTACCAGTCTAGGGTTTCAAAAAAAGCTTGATAATTATGAACTTTTTCTGCTTTGGGTTGGTGATTATGGTATCCAGACGCTTGTTGGTTTCAACGAACTAAGCGTCCTGCTGGGTTTAAGCAAAACTCCCTTATGAGCCATTTATGTTGCAAGCTGTTGCATCGCGTCTGCAAGACTTGACTCATGGTTTGCTCTTCGAATGAAATTTATTCCTCTAAAAAGAATCTTCTTCTATTATGCGGCTTTCTATAAGGTATTTAGATCTCCTTTGAGAAGCGATAGTCCCTCTTAACTTCATTCTCGCCACTATGTTGAACCAGACTCGGATACAACTTGATACGAGCATGGATGCGGCACCCATAGTTATCCAAGTTACATAGCTAAAAACAGGAATAAAGGATAGGGATAAGAAGGAATTGAAGTGGAATCTCACACTTGGGAGAAGGCTCTATCAATGTAAGTGTAGGATCTCGACCACAATCAAGTGGAAAACTCGATTGATACAGAGAAAGAATACACAATCCTAAGCCTCAATGAACCAAAATACACTCAATTTTCTTCAATGTCTCACCTAAAACTCATGTTTAAGCCTTTATATAGGCTAGGGAAACAACAAACTCGCCCAAATCATAAAAGGAAACAAATCCTAAACCAACAAAGAAGTTTTAACCCGTCAAACCCCGATCCTCGGGTCGGGTCTTTAAATCCCCTGAGGAAAACGTTGCTAGCGTCAGGGAAAAACCATGTCCAAATCTCCGGGTGGACCCTTGAAATCCCTGGGAGGAAATTGGCAACACTGGCCAGGATTTGACTTCATCGCCCCTACTTTCTTCCACGACACCCCTCCGTCTCCAAACTTCAACAAGCATGGTTTTTTGGCTTCTGAGGCTCGCATCATGTTGTGTATGAGGATGGTTGTAGCTCGTCTTGGTTTTCACAATGGCCAAATTCGTTGTCGATGATCATTCCGGAGGAAGATTCAACTGTTTCTTTTTCCTGCCTTTTTGTATATCCACTTAATGTTCTTTTCGTGTCAAATTCGCTGCGGCGACTGTAAAAGCAAAAGGATTCCGACTTTCCCGACTAATCAAGGCATTCGCTTAATTTCGATTCCTTCCTCTTTCAAATTTCCACAGGCCTACGAAACCTGGTCGTTGAGTTCCATCGCCTAAATTAGGGGGATTTCATAAGCATCTCATTGTTGTATTTAATGAATTTGTAAAGTGGACCCATAGGTCATAAGCATTATTCTTTATTCATAAGCGTTTATCTTCATGGTCACACTTTAGTGAATTCATTGTGGTAGGATTCCAAATTGGGATGGGAGGGGGTCTCTGGATCCAGCATAAGTTTCCCAATTTGCACAGGTTTCCTACATCCACCTCAACCACTGACTCACGAACCCTAGATTAATGCTTCTGGAGGAATTTTGGATTGCCCTCTTCTTCCCCATGGTTGTGTTGTTGGACCTATCTAGGAGTTTTGAATTGAGAAAAATTTAATTAATTAGCTTGATTGATTGGAGGATACTTCTTCCTAGGAGAGAGAACTATCCTTCTCCTGATAAAGTTAAGGCCCGCAGACTCTGTTTTTATCAGTTGGTTCTCAAGTACAGTCGGCGAAGACCCAACTACTTCCGAAGCAGCAGAAGGCATCGCCGCCTCCCTTGGCCTATGGGAAATCTTTACGCATCGTCCTTTCTAGAAGATAAATTCAAGCAGAATTAGCATTAGGGGTTCCATCTTGAATCCTCCCACGAAATGTTTTTGGGAAACTTGGTAATGCAGATCGAGAAGTCAACCATTCGATGGGTACATAGAGAGTATAATTGATCTCTCATTAATTGTTGGAAGTGCAATTTCAACCCTTTTGTATGTACAGACTACAGATTTTATATATATGAATAAAGGACAATAGAGGATAAGGGAATTTCCAAGCAAATGGATGATCTAACGGGGCAGGGCCATCAATCATCATGGCTTAATAAGAAGTCAAGGGGGTAAATAGACAATACTTTGAGTAGTTTACTCCAAACTCGATAAGAAGGATGATAGTCCCCCAGCGAAATCCATTTCTGCAGATGGGGTGCACATACGATGATCCTCCTCCACATCTGACGGTCCTCCACCATCGCAGGCTGTCTTCGCCGGGCGCCGCCTCCATCTCCAGCCGCCTGCTGACCGCCGCACCGCCTTCCATCACCGCTCGCAAACATACTCGCCTAACCTTCCGCCAGTGCTATTTTTGAGATACAGAGGCAATTAAAACCTAGATCTTGGAACCATGCGCGTTGATCTTGGTGTCGGCATCGTGCCACTTAGCCAATAAGGGCCGACCTCTCCCATATCGTATTTGTTTTCTCATTTTCTTCAGCTACTTTAGTTTTCGTCTGGGTTGTTTCTAACACCAACAACATCTTCGTAGCATAGCTTCATCTCTCCTGTTTCAGGGTTCCCGTTGGTTTGCCATCCATTGATTGCTCCGGTGCCGGTGTAGGTGCGGCGAGGGTTTCTTGTGTTTCAGCACATGCAAGGGATCTCACCAGTTGCCATCGCATTATTGCAGCTTGTCAAGTACCCAACACGTGTGAGCCGATGTGGTATTTGCTCTTATCCTTATCAGTAAAAGGTAAGCAGTAAGGTTGTGATTGACTTTAATTATTTATTATTTTCGGGTTATTTATTCTCTATGATATCATTACTTTCTTTGTTTGTTTTTTTGAGCAGTCCTGCGTAGATGGGTTGCTTAATTGGGCTTACACTTCAGCCATTTTAATTAGTTAATTGCTCGGGCTGGTTACTTTTATGACATTGGTTCTTATATTATATCGTTGTTTAGTATGAGCTGGTCAAAATTAAAATTTGGCCAATCTAATGGTTTTCCCACAACTATAGAAGCTAGTGTCATCAGCAGAGGTGGGAGGCCATGTGGCCTGGTTGGCTTTTGCCTTTTTTATTTTTTTTGTATTTTGCAGGATTAGCGGCATATGCGGTGGAGTCTTTTACGGGCTTTTGTGCTGAATTGTTATTAGATCTACAAGGGTTTGCTTCTCTGCTTCAATTTTCAGCATGGCAAGTTCATGATTTTGATCTTTTTAAGGGAAGAAATCATGATATTGACCATGTCCTTAAGGTATCCACGGCTTCCCATATTGTGGCAAAAAAGGAACTCTCTTCGTTGGTTAAACATCTGTTGACCAATGCACATTATTTTTTTAAATTTGGCTGGTTTCGGCCATGAACTTATTAGTATCTTGCTTATTCCGTTCCCGAATATCTTTCGCAAGAATAAGGTGATGCAATTTTATAAATTGCACCTACCTTTTCACTTGGGTGTTGTGAAGTGTGAACCCTAGCTTGAAATATGTGATAGATTTTATTAATTGAATACTTTGTGTTTGGATTTGTGTTTAATGCCAAATTTGAGGTATTTTCATTATGTTTGGGTTGTGTTCTTCATTTCTCATTACTATGCCAATTTGAACTAGTAGAGGAAACCCCCTTTTTGTTAGGAGGCTTTGATAAGCTGGATTCCTTGGTAAATTGAGCCACCTACGTAGAGTGAATTAGTGAAAGCCTCAAACTTCGATTTAGCACTTTAACTTGAGTGTTATTTTGTCGTTCGGATTGAGTTCTTGCAACACTTACTTGATCGGTTAAGAGAGCTAGGACTCCTAGCTTATTGTTGCAATCCTTAGCCGAAAGGTTGAGAGAGCTATAGACTTCCTAGTTTATTGTGGCAATCCTTAATCCATTGATTCAGAGAGCTAGGGTTCCTAGCTTAATTGTTGTCCTTAACCGATTGATTAACAGAGTGAGGTTTCCTTCACTTGTTGCGCCCTCCTAACGATGTATGAACACACCTTCACATATTTGCATCACTACAACAATTTGTCCTATTAGGAAAAAAAATTATTTTCATTTTTTGTTTGTCACAATAGGTACGGTGATATGAAAAAAATAATATATGTCATATTTGGTATGCCTAATGTGACAAAAAAGTGTGGTCAGAAAAAATTCGTCATTTAAAGTGAGTAATGTGACAAATATTTCGTGTCACAATTAATTTTGTCAAAATAGGCATCCAATATCGGGATGTAAGAAACACAAATGTGAAAAAATATATCGTCAGAATAGCTTTTATCACATTATGCCTTCTTGAATTGTTTAAATGACAAAGTATTTTGTCACAATAAATAACAATAATCCCATGACGAGCTGACAAAATGACATGTTCGTCATAATATAGTGGTTTGGGATTTGACAAAAGGCATGTTCTTCATAATATAATGGTTTCTTTTTTGACAAAAGGCATTTTTGTTAGATTTGCTTGTATTATACTAAAACTTGGTGTTAGACTGAAACCCCGTGGCCCTTGGTTGTTGTATGACACCTTGATTTAGCTAGTCTTCATTTTATCTGTGGGCGGGAAAGAAAACTCAAATCTCCCTATAAACTTTTGACTAATGAATATTTTTAAGTGCCCGGCGGCTTGCTCTTTAATTTTTGGGATTTGCTTTTATTTTTGGGTTAATACCTTATTATGGCCTGAACTATGACCATGTTATCAACTTTGGCACGTGGTTTTAGAAATTAACATCCTGGCCCGAACTATGCAGCATACTGACAAAATTGGCTTGGAGCGTGGTTTGACCGTTTGTTTGGACGGTCAACACCGTTGACCGTTAGTCAACTGTCCAGGTCACTGCCATGTCAGCACAAAAAAATTATAATTTCTTTTTTCTTTTTATTTCCTTTCTTAAATTAAATAACGACGAAAAAAATAAAAAAAAATTGATCAGAGGAAAACACAATCGATCAGAGGATCGACGATTCTCACTCCCGACCACCTCAAATTCTTCGACAAAGCCCTCCGCTCCGCCTCCGTCCACGGAGGCGGCCACGGCCACCGTCGCCTCCGAATCTCCCGCCTCGCCACCAAAAGTCCTACCCCCAAAATCGCCTTCCTCTTCCTCACGAACTCCAATCTCACCTTCGCCCCTCTCTGGGATCGCTTCTTCCGCGGCCACTCCCACCTCTACAAAATCTACGTCCACTCCGATCCCTTCTCCGCCGTCCAAAATTTCCCTCCTCCTTTCGAATCGCACCTCATCCCCAGCAAGAAGACAGAGCGGGCTTCCCCTTCCCTAATCGCCGCCGAGCGGCGGTTCCTCGCCAAGGCGATTCTCGACGACCCATTCAATCTCTATTTCGCCCTAATTTCCCAGCACTGCTTCCCTCTCCACTCGTTCCCCTTCCTCTACCGCTCGTTATTAGGGGATAACCCCCTCAGGGCTTTCACCTCGCAGCCTCGCCACCGGAGCTTCATCGAGATCCTCGCCGACGACCCCAACCTCCCCGAGCGGGTCGGGAGTGTTTTCCTCTGTTGACGACGGGCGGAAGCGAGCGGCGGGTGAGTAGACCGGCGACAGGGGGTTTTCTTTTGGTTCTGATCGAAAAGGAAAGAAGGCGAGGGGATAAGATGGAGATGGGTGGCCGAATTTTTTTTTTTTTGTCATTATTCAATTTAATAAAGGAAATAAAAAGAAAAATGAAATTATAATTTTTTTGTGTTGACATGGCAGTGATCTGGACAGTTGACTAACGGTCAACGGTGTTGACCATCCAAACAAACTGTCAAACCACGCTCCAGGCCAATTTTGTCAGTATGCTGCATAGTTCGGGCCAGGATGTTAATTTCTAAAACCACGTGCCAAAGTTGATAACATGGTCATAGTTCAGGCCATAATAAGGTATTAACCTTTTATTTTTCAATCATTCAAAATATAAAACGCACAAATAAGTCATCATCTTGCAATTCCTCTCTCAATCTCCCTCCCTCTCAATCTCCTCTCAATCAGTGTAGTAAAAAACGTTAAAAACGCATAAAAACGGTTAAAAAGGTCTTTTGGGTACGTTTTGGTATGTTTTCGGTCAGAACCCATAACTGCCAAGCCAAAATTGTGTCGTTTCTAACAAGAAAATATTAAAAAAAAATTGAACGGGAAAAAGGGAGATTGGATGCTCGACTGGCCGAGAGACCCTAACCCCTATTTGGACTCAAGCTTTACAGAGTCCACAGGAGGCCGCTCACCAACCCTTCTCTCCTTCAATTCCTCTCTCCCTCATCCTAGTTTTATTCTTCTCCCTTATCCACCACTCCTCCTGACGACGTCGGTCCCTTTTTGAATCCCAGTCTCCTCCCGAAACCAAGCCCTCACCCACCTTATTGCTCAAAGATGTCAGGACGAGCCTTAAGAACAAAGAAGAGATGTGGCGGCAACAGATCAGGACGAGCCTCAAGCACAACGAAGAGATGTGGTGGCAACAGAACCAACCCAGGTCAGATTCGATTCGCCTCCCCTGAGAAACCCCGCCACAAGTCCCTATCTAGACATCAAAAAGAGAATCTCTAAATATGGGCAAAGGTCATATGCACCTCCCCCAACCCAGCACAAGGGCAGCAGCAGCGACAACAAATATCGTTTCTAAAGTTGTACCAGCGGAACACATCGGCCGAAAGTGATCGCGACGACCGCGTTCAATCTAGGATTACCGGTGCCAACACTGCTTGTCCTTCTTTCGAGCATATTAGAGCAAGTCTTGGGACCCTCGCTAAACGTGTGGGGTCCGACAATAGAAGGTCAAATTCGACTCAGTCGTGGAAGCATCTTTAATCAGAGAGCTGCTGGATGATTGTTTCTTTCTGTGACTTTATCTGAATTCTGATGATTAGGTTTTATGTAGGAAATGAGATTTCTCTTCTACTGTTCATGGCTAACTAGGAGAATGAATTGTCATGTAGTAGATAGACTGATCAGGCAAACTCATGTCATACTTGACGGATTCTTCTCTGATAGTTGTGCTACTAAATGTTCAATTAAAGTTCATATCAGAGTCGCCATTGATAGTGGATTTCTTCTTTCCGCTGACTGCTTTTGTTTCTTGGCTAGTCACAAACACTTTCAGTCTTCTGGTCTTGAACTCAAGAGCTTACTTCTCTTACTGAGTTTCTGCAGCCTGTCAGGTATCATGTTGCAGGTACAAAAGATATATTTAATGCCCGTGAACCTTATTCCAACAACGATGTTGTGCACGTCACTCTTTTTTGGGGCCTTGCTTCAGTTGGAAATCCAAAGAAACAGGTTAGCTAAATAGTTTTTTTTTTGTTCTTACGTACTTTTCCAACACAGCTACTCAGGTTCTCATTAAGTTCACTCCATTTGATGAAACTGCAGTGAAATGAGGCTTCAACAAGTATCATTGTAAAGATGACAACTGCAAGTGCTCTTTCATTTACAGTTCCATCTGTTAAACAAAAACTTAACAATATGTTAATATTTGTATTCATCCATGCAATATTTTTTTTCTTTTGCTCTCTATCTGTTTCATTGAATAGGTTGTTCCTGTTCCATCATCACGGGTTGTTCCTGTTCCTTATATTTTTTTTTAACATGGTCGCTAAAAGAATGGTTTTTAAATTAGTTTCCAAGCAATGTAAGTCAGTGTGTCTACATTACTAATGCTGCTAACATTGACATGTTAAGAAGGTTGATTCTATCCTTATGTTCTGCCATTACTTCCTTCTCCTAACCATTTAAATGCATTTTATCTTTGCATATCTTCAGTTCCTTCTGAATTTTGATAAGCTTGTCTATTTGTTATCGAAATTCATTGGATGCACTTCCAACTGCCCAATGGTGAATATATATATGTTAAATTGTCAATGGGCAACCTTTCATTGTGTATTCACCCTGTTGCTTTTCTCTCACAGCCGACAACATTTTAGACAGAAGAAAATGTTTGAGGACTCAGTTTGATGAGAATTGTAATTTCTTCTATGCTGGAGAGAAAGGCCAAGGATTTTGAGAAGAAGATACAAAGTCAGGGAGAGCAACTAAAAAGTTAGAATGATTTGCGTCGTGGTGAACAAGGTGGAATGTTTTGTGTCATGGTGGACAACTTAGAATGATTGTTATGCTGAACAAGGAGTTAGACTGCTATGGAAATGATTGTAATGTCTTTGATCTTTGGTAAACTTTCCATTTTCAGGTTGCAATGCAGGAAATAATTTTGAATTATGAAACTTTTTAAGCAAGTCAAATTTGACAATAATGTCATGTCATCACATTATGTATATTGTCTGGCAAACTGTTCTCTTGTCGTATTAGACATGAGACAAATAAACCACCTTTCGTGACAACCTATACTCGTCATAATATGCAGTTATGACAAAATATATTTGTCATAATAAACACTTGTGACAAAAGGTAGTCGTCACAATATAAAGTTACGACAAAATATTATCCTGTAATATGACGAATAGTTCTCCCAAAATAACATATTTATGACAACTGTGATGACAAAATATGTCGTCATAACATCTCTGTTTGTCACAATATACTACCTAGAACCGTAGCTATAATGAAAGCAAATGTGACAACTTTGTTTTAAATATTTGTCACATTTGACCTATCTTGACGATGATAAAATGACAAACCTTTGTGACAACACCCATTGTCATATTATACCTAATATGACAAATTTACGTCGTCATAATATGCCGAATTTGTTGTAGTGCATTTAGTTTGGTTGATCTTGATAACTAGCAAGGGGGAGCAATACCCGGGTGAAATCTTCTCATTGGAACAAACTCGATTTACCTTTTTTGTTTATTTTCTAGTTTTTTTATTTTTAAACCCAAATTCGTTTGCTAGATAAGACTTAAGTGATTGAAGTAGGGGTAAATGAACCTGCCCGGGTTTAACAATTAAAACATGCTTGCCCTATACTGCACCCGACTAGAGTTTATACTTGGGCTCTAGTCGGAATTTAATTCACGGTGTAGTCCGTGCGAGTAAATTTTTTGGCGCCGTTGCCGGAGAACTGCGGTCTGTTATTCAAAAAAAGTCGCTTAGCGATACTCTAGCATTTTCTATCTTGCCCTTTTGTTTTGTTTTTTGTTTTATCTTTTTTAGTTTTGTTTGACTCACTCTTCGTCTTGAAGGGTGCTTTTTGTGTGTTTGATTTTTCTTTTTAGTGTTTTATGTTTGTAGGTATTGATCATGGATCCTTATGATTTCACCCAAGTGTGGGGGTATCTACCACCACCCGAGAGTGGTTACCCCGGAACTCCATGGTATGATCAAAATGGGGGAAGTCAAGGATCCAGGTTCTACTATCAACCTCCCTTCCAAGAAGAGCAACCATGCTCATGAGGATACCAAGAAGCTTCCCCATATCAAGAGGATTTCCTTCTACAAATCGAAGATAAATCCAAGTTGGAGTTGGCAATGAAGGCTTTCATGGGACATACCTCAAGTGGCATTCCATAACCGGCACCAAAGAGCGAATTAGAGATCATGGTGGAGCGATCTGCCTGGGGCACTGATGAAGGGTTCGCTAGCATGGACTCCCCAGTTGTCGACCCTCTCGACTTAACCTTTCTGCGGGAATTAGAGGAGCTCCTTTGACACGCGGAGAGACTATGAGGGCTTGTTGAGAAAGCATGTGCACAACTTGCTCACAATTGCCTCCTACCATTTGAAGGAATAGAGGAAGTCGGAGAGGCGAGCCATAAGAACTTTGGAAGAACAAGCTCCGACATGGATTTCTAATCCCTCCCTCTTTGCGGTTTGGCACTAGAAGAGAAGGTGGCATGAGCTTGTGCACGTCATCGCCTCTCACAATTGGAAAAGCAAGAGGAGGTTGAAGGGCAATCAATGACAACCCCGTGGAGCAAGAGGAATTCACCTCGGAGAGCTCCCGTGGTGAGGATGGCCAAGAAGGTTGCATTGATGAATCTCGTCACTTTCCCCTTCCCGAGAGCAACATCAAAGACCAAGTCATGAGTGTGGAGGAGCAAGAGAATCCCTTATATGATCTTGCATGACATCTTGCCCTCCAAACCGTGCTTGAAGATTTGAATGGGAAGGAGAAGGAGAAGGTTGAAGAGGAGGAAGTGATAATTGAAGAAGGGGAAGATCTTGATTGTTCTCAAGTGGAGGAAATAGAATAATAAGGAAGGGAGGTGGAGGAAGAATAAGAAGGAGCAAGTGGTGTCCAAGATGAGAACGAGGACGAGGTGGATAAAGTATCCACGAGTTACAAGTGTTACCAATGCCTTCTATCCGACCTTGACGCACTTCTCGAGAAGGAATCATTTGTGACTCTTTGCCAAGCCAAGGCCAAACTATCGGCGATCCCTCTTGGTGGATGCAATGCAAGTCAATCGATGATCCACTACATGGTGTGGGGAAAAGATAAAGAAGAAGAAAAGGAGAAGGAGAAGGAGAGGTCTCAAGGGTGGAGGCTTTATCTCACTCAAGTTCGTGATTCATCATCAAATGTCAATCCATATGCTCATGACTTGAGGCTCCATCTCGATGAT